CATACACAAAGTACTACTACAGGTAAGATAAATATGACTATATCCTTGCCCTCCAGTAGACTGGGCAGAATTATTTCATTTCTCCAAAAGAATCACTGTCTACTTTGACATACTCCACATTTACAATGCATTAACCTAAATAGTTCAGACAACAGAAAATGAATTAAATCTCTACTTGATTAATTTAATGTTAAAAACTTACACATCCAATTCACATACAAATGTATGGTGTATTTCAATTGTATTCTTAGAATATGCATCTGGAGAAAGTTGTTCCTTGCTAGCAAAACCTAAGGTTTTCAATATTCACTATAGGTATTTATTATATAAAACTGGATTCCAGAGGGTAAACTGGTAGAACCATTAGATATGCTTACATTTTCATATTATCCACATACACATTAATACATTCAGATACAATAATAAACGAACCTATTTAATTCAAAACCTTCTAGGGATTTAAACACATATTTAAATAATAGAATTACAGAGCCATCTAGTGGCCTCATAAAGATTGATGCTTCATGAAATTTTGTTTTGTTCCATCAAGTTTTACATAAACATAAGCTTATTTTCCCACTAATACAGATATTTATAATCCTTGTGGATAGTGAGTCAAAGGAATTTTGGAGCTCAGGTACTAGAGTAAATGTTTGACATTATGAAACACCTATAGTCTAAGTTATGGGGACAAAAAAGTAAAGAAAAGAAAAACAAGAGAATTTTAGTAAGTGATCATAAAATTTTCAAATTATTTTAATATATATAATAGGAAAACATTAGATATTTTACAAATCTTACTTCACAAATACTCCAAAACAGTAATATGCCATATTAAATGTTAAATAAACAATAATCTTCTTTTGCATAAAGGCATGTAAACCAAAAAAAAAAAGTCTCATTAGTAAATGATTAAACCAAGGAGCACAAGCCATCTGAGAAAGAAAGAAAGAAAAAGTCAAACTTTGGGATGTTAAATATTTAATGAAATGTAAGTGCAGAATCTCACCGACATGCGAGCGTCTACAACCAAGTCAGGCATTCGCTCTTAAAGTGCTGGAGGCCACTTTGAGATCACGGAGCACCTGGGCAAAGCCGAAGTTTTTCAGGCTAAACCATAAACCATAAAAGTGTCACCATGTTGCTTGCTAAACTTCTCGATAAACATATACATTAAAGATCTTTCATGATGTCAAACACTTACTCTAGAACCCCAGTTCCAAAATTCCTCTGACCCACCATCACGGCGAAATTCACTGAACCTACTTACCACATTTTCGATGTCCCTCACTGCTCTGCGGTATTGCAATCACTCCTCGTCTAACTTAAATTCCATGACAAATCAAAGTAACCATTCCCTTGCGTGCATTCCTTTTCCCTTCTCTCATTTTGCTTTTCTCTCGGCAAACCCCAATTTAGTTCACTCCAGCTCTCTGTCAGCTCCACACCTGCGCCTCTGCAGCTGAGCTCAACGTGGACAAAATACACACCCATGCTAAAGATTCGAACTTAAATCCGTTACAAGAATTCAAGCAAGCTACTAATGTGACCCAGGAACCCCACTACTTTTCCAAGTCCACTGACACTATCTCCTAATTATGCCTTTTCCTCTCTCCTCAAATTTCCAACACTCTCCCCCATTCTCACTCTGTTGACGGCCTTGCTTTCTGTTACCCTAAAAAAAATTAGTAGACAATATTCCAAGTTCACGCCACCACATTCATTCTCGCATAAGCAGCTGTACCATATACTCCTGCTCTATAGATGAACTATTAATACTGTCTTAGACTAACCCCTACCTCTGTGCACTAGCTCCTGTCTCATCTCCCAGCAGTTCGCCAAATCTCTGCTCTATCATCAATTTTTCCATTTCTATTGGATCTTTCCTATCAGAATACACACATGCTTTAAGTTCTCCTGTGCTTAAAAAATAATCCACTCTTTATCCCCATCCCTTTCCAGATATTGCCCGTGTCTCTTCCCCTTTATGGTGAAACTCCTCAGAAGAGTTGCTCCAAATCCACAATCTCCAATTCTGCTGCCATTCTCTCTGAAACTGTTCCTGACAAGGTCTCAAACGACCTCTATATCGCTAAAGCCAGTGGTCATTTCTCAGCTTCCATCTTACTTGTATCACAAACAATTGATCGCTCCCTCTTATTTGAAAAACTTTATTTTAAAAATACCACACTATACTGGCTTTTCTCCTTTTCTCACTTCTCAACCTCCTTTGCAGGTTCCTACTCATTTTCCTGGTAGATTAATGTAGACATGACTTATCACTGATGTTAATATTGACCACCTGGACCGGGTAGTGTTTGCCACTTTTTGCGACTGTAAAGTTAAGCTTTCTCCCCCTTTCCTTACTCCACCCTTTGAAATCAAGTTACTGTGCATAGCCCACAATAAGGTTGGTGCTGAGATCAGGAAGGGGGATTAAATTCCACCTCGTGGAGAAAAATGCTTTTTAAAATAAAACCTTTTCAATTTCATAAATATGTGTTGACTACCTCAAAGCACTGAAAAATGCAATTGCGTGCTCATTTAATGCAGGTCATTCTGCCAGGCACTTCAAATAAGAGTTAGACATAGTCCTTCACCACAAGGAGTTTATAATAAAGATACCACAAGAAAAATGTGAGTTAAGTACTTAAGAACGTTAAAAAAAAAAGGAAAAAATCAAATTCGGTTCAAGTACTGAAAATTCTCATAGAACAAGGGACAGTAGAGCAAAGCTTTGAAAGCACAGAATTCTGACAGCTAAAAATAGACGAGAAGGCATTCAAGATGGAGAAAAAAGCATAAACAAAACGTGGGGTAGAAAAGGGCATATTTTTTAAGTCCAGTTTCAGACAAAGCACAAAGTTCTAGTTAAAAGCACAGGTGTGCATGCACACAGACACTCTCCCTCATGGTGTTCATTGTTCTAACTCCCTAAGCCAGTGGAAACATTTCAAATCCTTAGTAAGACTGTATAGCTTAGCACAAATGGATGGTGTTATGGGCTGAATTGTGCTCCTGAAATTTCCTGTTGAAGTCCTAACCCTCAGTACCTATGAATGTGACCGTATTTGGAGATGGGGACTTTAAAGAGGCAATTAGGGTTAAAGGAGGTCATAAGGGTGGGCCCCAATCCAATATGATCAGTGTCCTTTTAAGAAGAGGCAACTGAGATGGACAGGTACAAAAGGAAACTGACACTAAGATACAGGAAGAAGCCTGCCGTACACAAGCAAGGGAGAGAGGCCTGAGGACAGCCTGATGACACCTTCATCTCAGACCTGCAGCCTACAGAACTGTAACAAAACAAGTTTCTGCTGTTTAGGCCACCCAGTCCACGGTATTTTGTTATGAGACCCTAGCAAACTAATACAGATGATTATTTAGAGATTCTAAATAAAAGATAATTTGGCAAAACTCCCTATTGTGATTCGGCTTTTAAGCCTTGTTATTGAGCAGTTCTTTCAGTTCATTCGTGAGATGAAGTAAGTCAAGTAAGAAGTGACAAAAAGTACAATAGGGTGAAATATGGTGAGCCTTAGAAACAGCTTTAGTTCTCTTAAGAAAATCTATCTCCTGGCCAGGCGTGGTGGCTCACGCCTGTAATCCTAGCACTCTGGGAGGCCGAGGCGAGTGGATCATTTAAGCTCAGGAATTCAACACCAGTCTGAGCAAGAGCAAGACCCCGTCTCTACTAAAAATAGAGAAAGAAATTAGCTGGACAATTAAAAATACATAGAAAAACGTAGCCGGGCATGGTGGCGCATGCCTGTAGTCCAAGCTACTCGGGAGGCTGAGGCAGGAGGATCATTTGAGCCTAGGAGTTTGAGGTCGCTGTGAGCTAGGCTGACGCCACGGCACTCTAGCCCGGGCAATAGAGTGAGACTCCGTCTCAAAAAAAAAAAGAAAAGAAAAGGTATCTCCTATAAGCTTGTGCGTTCCAATCCTAACCATCATAGCAATTTGTACTCTAATTAAATTCACTCCCCCAAGAAAGTATGCAATGACTACATGAAGTTTCTCTGGATCTCCACTGTTTCCCTGACAGCAATTGCTGCAATGTGCCTAAGTAAAAGGTTTGTTTCATACCTTAAGAAAATAAAAAGAACAGAAAACAAATTTAGTGTTTAATAAGCACGCATCTAAGACTAAAACTCTTCCTAAACGTTGGAAAGTCTACTTTACAAGGGTAGTAACTCCACGGCTTCTTTAACTGCACCCTCAAAGAAACGCACAGCAGGGGAGTTAAGACCCAGGTGTTTCGCTTTCAGGAGTCAAAACGCGGCCCGACGTGGGCAAAAAGCCCTGGGTCAGACCACAACAGGGGGAATGTGCACAAACACCCGCACCTGGGTCTCCCGCAAGCCACCAGGCCTAATAGCCTTTCCTTTTTCCAATATCGCGCTTACGAAACTGTCTGGTGAGGCTGTCAGTATTCAGTACAAACACTCCTAAGAGATTATACAAAACCAAACCCTGAAAGCAGACCACTGGCACCGGCGCTTCCGGAACAGCAATTCCAGCGGAAGATGAAGATCACGGACAGTTCACTAACAAGGAAACCAAAAAAATCAGCTAGTTTGACCTAAGAAATGAATCTACCAAAGGTTAAGCAGCAAAAAACTGGCAAACCTGTGTTTCGGTAACAATAGGAACTTCTAAACTAAAATAACCAGCCAAGGTTAAGCAGGAAACAACGTACCCTCAGCAGCCGGTTTGGGGAGCGGACGCTCCCGGGCGTCAGGAGTTCCCGGTCCCGTAGGAAGGTTCCGGCCGTGGCGCGCACGCGGACGTCGGGTCCCGCAAGCCTGGAGGGAGAGAAGGGCGGGGGCGGGGCCCCGGGGAGGCGTGGCCACCTGGAGGGTGGGACAGAGGGCGGTGTAATATAAACCCCGCCCCTCGCGGCGCTTCCCCCGGAAGAGCGTCATCACTGCTATAAGAGAGCGTGCGCAGAGGTACTCGGCCTTTTACGTCCGGGAAGCGCTGCGCTTAGGTGAACGTAGGCTGTTGTGTGTTTTGTGCGCCAAGATGGTACCTGGGACGAAACTTACTGGCTTACCTAAAATGCAGGGGACTCGAGAAGCTTGTTGTGTTAGTAGGTCAGGGTTAGCTTTGAAAACCTTGCGGCTTGGAAGCGTGACCGGACTGGGGTGCCCCTTAGGTCACTGGATGGCCGCGTGCAGCCCCGGGCCCTAAACCCCGGCGCGCCTGGGCCACGGCCCGGGGGAAGGTTCCGTGCACCTGATGACTGCGGCGAAGGTCGTTAGTTCCGCCATGGGTGTCATGTGGCCATCTTGAGTCTACTGTCACTGTTAATTAGCGTCGGCACCCTGAGAACCGCCAGTTTGATCCCGATGGTGAGTAATGTCTTTCGGAGTTGTGCTTGGCTATTCAGTTTCGGATTTTGAATCTCCATGTGTCTTTGGGACCTGTCAACTGTGGCAGTCTCCCTTCCTAGCCATGGAAGAGCATATTCTTGTTTATTGGCAAAGCTGTCACCATTTAATTGGTATCAGATTCTGACTTGCACAAGTAACATTCTTCGCTATTAAAAATCTGAGGGGTGCCGGTTATTGGGCAAACTTTTCTAAACTATTGTTTAAATGTTTCTAGGAAGCTGAGCTCGTTCTGATTTGTGATGGGAAGATGACAAGGTACATTTCCTTTTTCATACTCCCGAGTTAATTTGAAACCCCTTAGTGCTAAGACATTGAAAGACTAACGTTGGCCCGTTTTGCTGGCGTTTTGTAATTTGAAAATCAACTGACTTTGCTGTTAAAATCTCAGAACGGTGAGGTAAGTACACAGACCTGAGGTTTATAATGCCGGTTTTTTTCTCTTGCAGGTATCAAGTCCAGAGTGATCGCGAGTGAAGTCTTAACGCAGTATCCTGCAGTGGATTACCAAAATTTCTTAATCGTACCTGGAGGAACAGGTGTTTCCATGAATGTTCTGGAAACTACCAGGGCACCAACATTAAATATAGGCCTGAGTTTTTTAGAGGGGATTCGTTGATAGTTCAATAAAATGCTTAATTCATGTGGAAACTCAGTGTTCCTTGATTAATAGGCGGAAAGGTAGTTAAAAATAGTGAACAAAATATTAATACCTCCTGGTACTGTTAAGAGCTCATGAGCAAGTGGCATGAATGAGTACTGTTCTTCGGTTATAACAGCATTTGGGAAAAACTTGTAATTTTTATAATCACCAGGGTTAACCCCGAGGGAGGGAGCAGACACCATACCACACAAAAGATTAAGGCAACTATACAAGGTGGAAAGTTATACACTTTATTTACACAAATGTGCACTGAACGTTTTATCTTTTAAAAGTCACACAAGAAAATTGGCTATAATAAAAGCATGTTTGATGAACCATCTATTCTACTTCAGGATTGAGCAAACTGCCGGCTGCCCGTTTACTGCCTCTCAGGTTTGCCAATCCCATCCACTTAATTATAAAGGTTGGCTTGCACCAGCACTGTAATTAAATTACAAGGGCAGCCTGGGAGGAAGTTTCAGTAAAGAGAAATTTTCACACCAATATTGCACATTTTTCCCAAGCCCTTGTGCAAGTGTTCACCATATGTAGCTCTATCACCTAAAGGTTAATGCTGCTTAAAAAGTTTATCAAAATCATGAGCTTTTTAGAAAAATTTTAATGCTGTTCTGCCTGACACAGCATCACAAATCTGCAAAGCAGAACTATAAGCACCTTTAGTTTTGCACCAGTTTTTATAAATCAAGATTTACAAAAAGGGGGCATAATTTGATGTAGAAGGGAAAATGGTAGAGTTCCTCATGACAGCTATTTAAGAGGATTATTTATAACCATCCTAAATTTCATGCTAACCTCTTCACCTGTTTTTAATACTGCTTGGGATTTGGGGAAGGATTCATGACATTAGCAATAATCATCTCATGTCTGGAAATGTTAAAGTACCTCGAGTGTGCCTTTTACATTTGAGCAAAGATTTTGCATTGCTACCAGAAATAATCCTGTAGAGGTACACGGTAAGCAGCTATTCCCTACCACTAGGTGGGAGAGCAATGAGGAAAAAATAATCTGTTATCAGCATTAGCACTCTTCTGGAGTTTGGAATCAAAACCCTTCTCCAGCTGCTTCACCTTGATCTAAGCCTGTTTCCCTATTTGAAAACTAGGGCTGCTGCTACTATAAAATCTTACTGGCCTTTTATAAATTGTCAGTGAGGTGTATGGCCACCTAATGCAGTGCCTGGCATGTGCTATGAATGGTGTATGTGTTAAGTGGATTGAAACAGTTATTTTAAAACTTTCCCAAATATATAGGCCTGGAAAGCCTTTGTACTAATAATTTTTTAGTTACTAGTATTTCACAACTAATTGTATCAGGTTATTTCTGGAAAACCTACAGGCATGAGTCAATTACAAGAAAGTTTCAGTAGGTGGCACTCTTCCATCATAGTCCATGGAGCGTGATGCTAAGGAACAGTTAACATTTCTTATTCTCCACTAAGTTAAACCTGAACTGGTTGTTAAAAGTGATTAGATACGTTAACGTGTTGGATAAATTAGGTTGTATATCCAACTATCAGTTTTCAGGTTGCCAGGAATCCTTCTAAATCTGGCTAGTAGCTTATACACAGTACCTAGAACATAATGTCGGAGGGGATGGGGTCTTGCTGTGTTGCCCAGGCTAGATAATGGTTTCTGTAGTGGTTGGTACTTAACAAGGATACTTGTTTCCAAATACCAATTGGATCACTTCATTTGGGAATGTATTGTGACAAATGTCCTTGTGGTTTAATGATCCTATTATTCTGGAAATTTTTAACCTTTTTGGCCCTTGATTTCCTTATTTGACAAAGGTTACGGAGATAATGATATGTGAAGATTTCTTGTAAGTCTTTTGAAAAGACTCAAGCATAAAAAGGAAGTAACGCCACTCTTTTGAATGTAGTGAAGGGTATTTTTTATGTCAAATGTGGGCATTTACTATAAATTCATACACAATATTGGTTGAATTATATGGAGTTCTCAATCCAGATAAATGTAAAAACAGCCTTAATTGCAAAATCAATAAAGAATAATCTCTGGAGAATGCTGAGAAATAGACAAATAGATAAATATGGCTCAAATGAGAATAAGTTGAGTTTCCAGTGAAATTTGGGTAGACAACAGTCCTAATTAAGGACAATCAGCATTACACTGAGGTATCTGTAACCAAAAATGTTCACACCACAAATTCTCAAAAGCAGCAAAAGGTACACAATTTCTACCACCAGGTAAAGCAAAAACATCGACCTCAATCCCCATTAGTTGTCATCTCTGGCTGACTGCCAACAGTGGAGGTTAAAAGTTCCTGCCATCAGTTTCTAAAAATACTATTCCATCTTGAGGTTTCCATGAAGAATTACAGTTTGGTGACACTTTTTATCCAAGGGACAAAGGCTGAGACTTTGGTGTAAACACCAGGGGAATCCTTGACTCCACAGCCATGTCCCCAGGAGGTCACCCCATACACCACCCAGCTTGCGCCAGGCCGTTCACACATGAGTGGTCCCCCGCTGTCTCCCTGGCAGCTGTCCACGCGTCTGTGTTCATGGAGGTTTCCAGCACAGAGCATCCTCCCTGTAAACCGACCCTTATAACGTTCTTCACAAAACCTCTTAGGAAGTAAGGGGATGGCTGCTTGTTGTAGTGTCCTTGAATAGGCTTGTCCTACTCAGACCAAATATCTGAATTAGTCAATGGGATTCCAGCTAATGATCACAACATTTAACAGTTTAATGAACGCTTAACAGTCTTAAACAAAATATCTACTGTGGCATTAGTGTAGTTTAAATGAGTGATAACTATAAATGGCATATGTCATTAGCTGCCTTTTGAAGACACTTTTACCCTTACTGTTTCTCAGTGCTGAATCTTTTGAGGAATAACGAGTAACATTAGTAACATAAAGGTAATCTGAAGAAAGCACATTTGTGCAGGCTTTACTATTTGAATTCTGTATATTAAAAAGCTGAGAATGCATGCTGGTTTTGCATTATCACATCTATTCATGCGAGATTCATCTACTTCATTGAATTAGAGGATTAATAAATGGCAATTATATATAAACACATAAGGTGGCAATAACTGTCCTAAATAGGACCATGGCATTGTATAAGAGTGATTCAGAAATAAAACATTACACAGACTTTCTGATACCAGCTTAAGTTTTACCACCTGAAATCAGTGTACTCTATTTGCTAGTAAGCCATTCATTCCTTGTCCAGTGGCTATAGCACTCTACTGTTATTCTCTGATCCTCTTTACTAAACTGAAATAAGTAATCCACAATAAAGTACATTATATAAGATGCACTTCCTTGATCATTTCTATTAACTCGGGTGTGATGTCCCCAGGAAGACGACTGCACCCTCCCTGATTAAGTAACCATAATTCTAACAGGTAGACTTTAGCCATCACAGGGCCTGGATGTGCTTCCTGGTTCAACATGGTATACCAAGAAGGCGTTCATCCCACCCTGATTTTAGTTTATTATTATATTTGAGGAGTGTTGCCTTTTTAAAATTTTTTTCCAGTTTAACTCAGGATAGGTCCCAATTTTTTTTAGTATTCTATTATATATCTGCTACAAGATGTTCTGCATTTTGCTGCTATGAAATAATATATGTCTGAAGCCCAACTTGAGTTTGGAATAAAACACTGAGATATATTTATAGTTACTCAATAAAACCTTATGGAAATTATCACCAGTAGAAACATACTTGTTTGACACTCTTCAAGAATACAGTTATCAGTGTAATTATTTTTAATGGAGAGCAATCATGAATTGAGCACGTAACACAGGTGAGACTCAGGTCTGTTTCAAGACCCATCCTGAGCAAGCACCAGCCTGTATGTGTAGATTTAACTCTACAGCAAGATAAAGCAGAAAGCCTCCAGGCAGGGTGGGGAACCTGAGGCCTTAAGGCCACATGTGGCCTTCTAGGTCCTTAAGTGTAGCCTTTTGACTGAATCTAGATTTTACAGAACAAATCCTTTTATTAAAAGGGGTGCAGCAGAGAAAGATGAAGCTTTTCTAGCCTCCTTTGGTGCTTAAAAAAGAACAATCTTGAAATCAGAAGGCTGCAGGTTCCCCTCCCCTGCACGGAAAGAACGGGAAGGGAGGAGGAAGGAGAAAATGGCTTCACTTCAGCCTCAGCTCCACTCTAACCTCCGCAGCTCTGCCTTTGTCTGTTCTACAGGAATTCTCTGTAAGAGTTAGTTTGACGAAGGTCTCCATTGCAAAGCAACAAACCATCAAACACCAAAGCCCTTTGCTGGGCCAGCTACATCAAGTCATCTAGAAAAGCTTTTTAAAGTATAGACTAAAAAATAAATTAAATTAAATACAGACTGCCAAGCCCAAGTCCCGGAGTAGGATCTTAAAATCTCTTCCCTTATCACCCTCACTAGTTTGGGGAACTAAATGTTAATAGAAGATTCTCTACCCCTAAACTCCACAGGCAATTGAGTTCTCTCAGTCT